GGTACAAAGGGAGAGCTTCTTAAAAAATATTATACATATACACATACAGTATATATGTGTAGTTTTAAGAAACATATTCCTCTACAAGTGTTTTGTGCTGCTCACTTGTTCACCTACTAGTTCTTGTTCATTCTTGCAAGTACTTCTAAGTCTAGTTTTCCACTTAAAGCTGATCTCAACGCAAACAACTAAATACATACCGTATATACTCGAGTATAAGCCGTCCCGAATATAAGCCGAGGTACCTAATTTTACCAAAAAAAACAGGGAAAAAGTATTGACCCGAATATAAGCCGAGGGTGGGAAATGAGGCAGCTACTGGTAGATAGATACCAATAAAATTACATTAATATTTATTTAAAAGAAAAATAACCTAGCTCTGCAAGTGGAAAAGGGGGTACAGGGCTACATATCATGTACTACGGATCATTTAACCCATTCATATTAGCAGAGGATAATTGTAAATCTATTGTTCAGTGCATTCTATATGTAGTATATAGTGCATGTACATATAGAGTGCCTGCAACAATACATTTACAATGATCCTCTGCTAACATGAATGGGTTAAATGATCCATAGTACAGGGCTACATACAGATCATTTAATACATTCATGTTAGTATAATTGTAAATGTATTGTCTGCACTGTATTAGCAGTATATACTCTATATAGAGTATATACTGCTAATACAGTGCAGACAATACATATATAATTGCTTAATTAATCTCTCTCTCTACCCCCCTCCCTCCCCTCCCCTCACTCACTGTGTGCCGGTGATCGGATCATCACATCACGGAGAGAGCAGGGACGAGTCAGCGGCGCGCTGGTCCAGTGGGAGGAGCTCCAGGTGGGGTCCTAATTTAGCTGGCTCAGAGGTGCCTGCCCGCTAAATTACAACCCCACCTGGAGCTCCTCTCGCCTGATCAGCGCGCCGCTGACTCATCCCTGCTCCCCTGCCTGACTGGCCGCTGCGGGGGTTTTTTTTTCTTCTTACTTACCTCGCCGAGCGTCGCGTCACTGCTGCTCCGGTGGGCGGCGCTCCGAGCGGGGTCATCTGGCAGTCTCCGGCCACCTAAATTAGGACCCGGAGACTGCCAGATGACCCCGCTCGGAGCGCCGCACACCGGAGCAGCAGTGACGCGACGCTCGGCGAGGTAAGTAAGATGACACCTGGCGCTGACTCGAGTATAAGCCGAGGGGGGCACTTTTCACCCAAAAAAATGGGCTGAAAATCTCGGCTTATACTCGAGTATATACGGTATATAAAAGCTGTTTTTAGCTGCGTGTGGATTTGTACATCTGCCCATTTTGCCGGTTTGCAACTTTCAGCTTTTCACTTAGTAGCTCACAGCAGCCTCAGGAGAGGAGCATTACATGTAGAACTTCAGTTAAACCTTCAGGGCATAACTAGTATGTCTTCTATCTCCACCAACCCACTGTGCACAGTCCTGTACTGGCCCCTCTGAACCTGCTGTGATTTTGACAGCCAAGGTTCTGATTTGTATACAAGAACCACACGCCGTGGACGTTTCATCGCCTGTCAGTTCTAACTATTCCCCCTTCTTTAGCTGTTTGTTTTTGCTGATTCTTTTAAAGCTGTTTTTACTATTTGTATGCATGTTTTATGTTTTCATTTTTTTGTAGCGTTGCGTTTAAATAAATAGAGCACATTTTTAGGGAGCCTGTTCGTAATTGGTTACTAACATTCCCTCATCTTATACTAGAAACATGTTAGTGTGATAAATTTAGACAAATGAAGGGATAACATTTGTAGGGCTGCAACTAACTAATCTAATCAATTAATTGATAATGAGAATAGTTGTCAACTGTTCTCATTATAGATTAGTTGGTTGGCCAGCCTGCTATTGGCTATTGCAATTTGAAATGGCCTATAGGAGGCTGGCTATTACACCTGCCCACTACCTGCTGTATTTAAATTCAGGTGTCCTCTGCAGAATCTTGCCACTAGCAGCCGTCATTCCTTGGCTGAAGCTATTCAAGCCCCATGTGCTTACAATACAATTATTACCAACAAATATATAAAAGATAGGAAAAAAGTCATTTTCGGTTTTCAGCCTGACAAGTTCTGGTGTGGGAGGTGCGTTGCAGTGCCATTCATTTCAATGGCACCCCAATCACACCTCCGACCCTCAGTGTGATCGCCTGCATGGGAACACACAGTACCGCAATTCTGTGCATTCCAGTGCAATGCGATTGCACAATATTGTGCATGCAGTTTTATTCTGAAGTAAACTTTGTAACACTCCATTTGTGTATTTTATTTTAAATTAAGGATGGTGTTTATTTAATTGTGTTATCTGATTAATTGAAAAAATAATTGGCCAACTAATCGATAATGAAAGTAATCATTGGATGCAGCCCTAAACCTTTTTTGAATCAAGAATAGCAAGAGTTGTTTTCAAACGACCACTGGATCAGTTAGTTAACAAAAAAAAAGAAATGTGGTTTTTCTTTGGTATGCTGTTAAAACATATAGATAAATTTAAAAAGTTGTTGAAGACCGCAGCATCAAAAGAAAGTGGTGTTTGTGAAAAAACAAAAAATCAAAACATAGATATATTTTGTAATGAGAACAACATATTGTAGAATCAACAGGCCCATAGCTGAAATGGCCGTTTTACTCTGGTCCAGAAGGGGTAAACCTCTGCGAGTGAGGAAGTAGTTGAATAGAAGATGTAAGCACTTGCAAGGAACCCAAGGATGTTCTATTTGCTTGTGTGTGAAAGATTGGATAAAGGTGCCCATACACTGCTCGATTCTCCTACGAGAATCGCGGGAAATCCTGCGATCGTACGAGAATCGAGCAGTGTGAACGAAGACGTGCGACCGTTTCTACTGTACGGTCGCACGTCTTTTGTCTAAGGAGCACGCTAGAAAAAACCAGCCGAAAATCGTACGATTTTCGGCTGGTTTGAACGGTGCTCGGGAGACAAATGCCGAACGGGCCGGTGTGCACACGCGCACACTGCCCGTTCAGCATTGCGGTCATCGGAAGCCCGCCCCTGAGGGGGTCGGGCTTGCGATGATGGAGAGTACGATCTGCCTGTCCAAGATTGGCAGATCGTACTTTTTTAAATCACTTTACAACCATCGCAAGACTAAGGTCTTGCGATGGTTGTACAGTGTATGGCCACCTTTACACTTTGAGTAGGTATAAATAACTAACTGCAGACCTGCTGGGTACAACTTACTCATGAATGAGTTTCCTTTCAAACTATGTGCAGCCATTGCTGGAGATATTCATCCTCATATTTCTGGTGACCCGGCCAGAAAATAATGGGGAATCAAATTTTTTACAAACCTGTTCTGGTGACAGATGTCTAATAGAGGGCTTCCTGATATTGGAGAGATTATTTATCTCTACCTATTGCAGCTCTGGGAGAGGAAGTGAAGAGAAATCTCCCCAATGAAATGAAAAGCACTAACATTTTCTGACTGGTGTTTTAACACAATCTCTATCCAAAACTGAAAAATGTTTTTGTCTTGATACATCCCTTAACTGAGCAGTGTCTCCACCCTAGGTCATTCCTTCTTGATTATGGAGTTATATGTTTCCCCTGTGTCTGAGTGGGGCTTTTTCCCGCAATATGAAAAAATACAGGTTGGTTAGGGGCTGTAACTTGGTCGGTAATGTCCTTACATATACCCTGTTTCCTGGAAAATAAGACCTACCCCGAAAGTAAGACCTAGCACTATTTTTCAAGTGGCGTAGGCGCGAGCGGCTTAAACGACGTGGCGTAAGCAGCGCGCGTAAGCGGCGTAAGTGGCGTAAACGGCGGCGAGCGGGAAATTTGAATTTTAGCCGACGAATCGACGATGGAAAACGTTGACAACGTTTTCCATCGTCGATTTTAATCGACTTAATCGAATAACTGTTGCAGCTCTAGTAATGTGTACCAGTAATTGGTACTGTACTTTACCGCGCTGCCCTCTGTCTGATGTCCTCACTGCTGCACCGCTGGTACCACTGTCCCTGATGGCAAAGGAGGCCAGTGCTGTAGAAAGCAAGGCTGCGGCGGCGGAGGGAGCAGAGTCGCATTAGCCGATATTCCTCTATAGCGCCGGTTACTAACTTCTAACATCACTTTGGATTGTTGTACATTTTGTTGCACATAAAAAAAAAAAAATACGACATCACCTGAAAATAAGACCTAGTGTGTTTTTTTGGGGCAAAAAAAAAATATAAGACAGTGTCTTATTTTCGGGGAAACACGGTATGTGGGTCCTGCCCTATGATACACAGATTTTGGACTAAAGTGCTCAAACTCCTCCAGGCTCTATTCAATTGTCCATCCCCAAGGCATCCATTGAATATTTTTTCCCTGAATATTTTTCTTCTTGATTGAGCTGCCTTACAATTAGGACTGTGATGGGATATCACCCTCTTTTTCCTAGTATGGGTATGATCCAGCAAGTGCAAGGACTCCTTGTTCTGTTTATATCATTATGCACAAACTGCTCATGTAATATGCTTCAACTTACCTTTTTTTTTACTGTATTACCTGTACAATTTCTTTGTAAGATTTGTTTGCAAAACCCCTTTTTGCAAATGAGTAAATACTGGTAGGTTATTTGGCTACCACCTAAACCGGTCCTACAGTGTGTGTACATGTAGGGACAATAGACTGTAAGCTCTTTCTGCTACTTTAACAATGTTTCCTATAGAAGTATTGCAAAAAAATTGTCAGCACTAAAATTTGACCATCAGCCTCTCTGCTACTGAACGCCTTATCCATACCACTGATAGGTCTGTGTCTCCCCTACAACAGGATGACCAGGGGTCACCATTATAGCCCACCGCTTTATACAATGTACTTAGACAGCAATCCCTGTTTCACATGTTAGATAGTAAAACATTTTTTACCGTTTGTTATTAATAATGCAATTATAAATAATACGTTAATACAAATGTCCAATAACTTTTGCTACCTTTACTTTCCCTATAATGTTTTAACATCATATTCATCTCTTTAATGCAGTACATAACTCAAGAGAACCAGGTTGGCTGGAGGGAACCCTGAATGGCAGACGAGGGCTTATTCCACAGAACTATGTTCAGTTCCTCTAGCAGTATGCACTTGAAGCTTAGATGCTTTACATGGTATCCATGGATTTCCGTTCCAGTTTACTTGTATCTTGTTGTATGACTGTGCAGACCACCTGACCAGAATGTAGGTGGAGAGGGCCCTCTCTCTGTGCTGAGCATCAAAATTTACATAGGATATACTGCCCTATGACACTTCCCTCTGGAGTCATTTGCTGAATAACCTTCCTGGCGTAAGTAAAAATACCTTTTAAAAAAGTATTCAGCACCTGGAGGGGGCACTAAGGATAAATGCCCTAGAAGTACTCATATCGTGTGAATGAAAGGACAAGCAATACTGCCAAACTTTAAACGACATGTTTTATTTAATGTTTGCATTTCTTACTGTTTATTTTTATTTGGTTTTTATCAATCACTGCTCCAGGCAACTAGTATACTTTATGATTAGTATGTCACTTATTTCACATTTTCATTCCTGAGAGTATTTTGTGTAATTATATTTAAATTAATAGTGTGATATAATGCCTCCCTGGCTACAAATTAAATCACATGCATGACTTGACAGACACAGGACACATATTTGATATGACTGTGAATGTATTTTAATAAGATGTAGCCCAACTTTTTTGCACCATCTAGGACAGCTGTGCCCAATCTGTAACCCTTGTGGAGGGACTAGAAGTCCCAGCATTCCCTGCCTTTGTCATACAGGATATGCTAGAACTTGTAGTTCATCCTCAGCTGGGGCAGATAAGTTGCTGTACACCAGTCAACATGTTTGATGTGCAATTTTCAACGTATTATGACAATTCATTGGAAAACAATGGGGAATAAAGGACGATGTTGCATTTTATACTACTTTTTACATTTACTCTTTTGTAGCAGTCAATTTTATAAGCTTACACTTGTTCAGTTTTATTGTTTTCAAAGTGTAGTTACTGCCAAAATAAACTATAATTTTATCCAAAATAAAATATTACTAGTTCTGTAATGCATTGTTTATTTTACTGTTGGAAAGAAATACATCTGCCATAATTCTTTATGATTATTTTCACCTTAGATTTGAACGGGTAAATTGTATTGAATGATATATGAATAATATATTACATATATGTATGCAGTGTGTATGTAGAATATTCTTATCTTTTAGGAGTGATGTTGGGGTGATTTTCAGAGCAAGAGTAGAGGGACATTAAAAGAGAACTATAGCCAAACCTTTTTTTTTTTGGCTTTTAGTTCTCTTTTGGGTCACAGGAGTACATTTACTAATGTACTCCTGTGACCCAAAGTCAGCATGTAGCAGGCATGTAGCCAGCTATATGCTGACAGAACAGAGCCTCGCTGCCTGATTGATAGCTGGCTCTGCCTTTCTAGAGCCAGAGCCAGCTGTGCCAACCCCTCCCCTGTCTGTCCTTCCAATGAGCACTGGAGGAACAGAGAGAGGGGGGAGAATGGAATCCTGCAGGGACTGACACTCGCCGCTCACTGCATGTAGAAGCTGTGAGCTTGCATAATCAATGCTTTGTGATCACTTGGTCCCGAGAAATAGAGCCGGCATGTGACAGCTGCAGTGTCGCATGCCACCTTAAAGTATTGGAAAAAGTATATTTTACTCTCACAGTAGTTCTCCCTTTTAAAGGGCATTCCCACCATATAAAGTATATCAGTAGACATTTGCACACCTGCCATGCTTGGTGGAAGAATACCTTAACTGGATTGGCATTCCTGCAGATTAAATTCTATTGTTGGTTCCAGGTTTATAATATGTTTGGGTTATGCCAGTCTACAAAAGTTCCTATCAGCACAAAGTCAGAGATGTCTTGTTTGAGTAAATGTCAGATTGTCGGACTAGACCTGTTGCAGAACATTCATTGGCAATACCACTGAATTTCTTTACTCCCCCTAAACTGTCACCAGGACTAGAAGGTATTAGACCGAAGAGGAAATGACTGTGCACAATATGTCAGATAAGTGTGGATGCAAAGTGCTGTTCTTTGTCCACACTCTCTTCTGATTATGAGGACAAAAGAGATGGGGACCAATGTCGAAGATCCCATCTGGTGGACCAGTCTGACCCTGGAGTCTATTATTGGCAGAAATACCTGCTGCAATAAATTGCTTAACATAACATTAACGTGTCTAATATAAATACCTATATCACCGCGCTTTTTCCTATATTTAATAATGTAGTGAACAAAATAAACCTTCCTTGCAAATTGTAAATCTTAAGCTCTATACAGTGCTCTTCACAACATGCCCTAAATACATAAATAATATAATGTATCCAAATATTAAATTATTTCACAATGAGTCCTTGCAATCCATGTGTATAAAAATACATAAACCAGTGTTCTTAAAACAACATATACATATCAAGTGCTATATTGATAAAAAGTATATTCCCATCGAGTATATTACAAAGTGCTCTTCTGGTATAAAACCACATCTACCAGTGTGATAAATCTTCAAGCCACCTCACTTACCAGATGTTGATGGTCATCTATTAAAGATGACCATCAACACTTTCTTTTAGTCAGCTCCCTCACTGAACGCCTTCTTCCATCTGTACTCAAATCGGTAATGCTAATTGCTCGTCTCCACCGATATACTCTACTGCATATGCACACCCCGATCCCCATAGGTACAATTTCCTTTAGTTAGAATTATTTAGATTAGGGATGCACCCAAATTTCCACCATCTAAACATATCGTGCAAAAATGTTATTTTGCGGCTGAAATAGCATGCATTCTGGGTTTCTCTCCTCTCCGCTGGGCACTGCTCTGTGTCCCCTCTGGCACAGAACAGCATCCAGCGGGGAGGAAAGAAACCTTCAGGAGAGCGGGGAGTCACCGGTCTCTGTCACAGGAGGCTGAGCTGCCATTCTGTACCACCCGCTCGACCTCCTTGGACAGACAGAGACTCAGGATGAAGAGCAGGGAGGAGACAGCTGTCAGCTGCAACAGGAGGCTGAGCCAGCGGTGGGGGGAGTCAGCTGTGTCACAGGAGGCAGAGTTCTCCTCCCCGCACTGCCCCCTCAGCTTCCTGTGACAGTCGAAGGAGTCAGGATGGAGAGCGGTTACAAGCACTTAATGATCAACTGTTCATTGAGTGTTTGTAAATAATTGAGGACATAGTATATTTACTATTCCCAATTATAAATGAACACGAAGTGCTCTACATCACTTCCTGTTCATTCATGATTGTGGCCATAGTAACTGATACTATCTCCACAGTTTATAAATTGACCGAAGCAATCAGTATAGAGACTTCCTGTTCATTTGTAATAGGCTGCCGCAAAAAAAAGAGATTTAGGACTGTGTCCTCAATCGATTTTTCTATTTCAAAAGGGAAATATCAGGGGTCTGGTTAGACGCCTGATATTTCCCAAGAGCCCCCGACAGTAAAGTAAAAAAAAATGTAAAAAGGTTAGGAAAAAAAAATATTTCGGTTTAGGCCTGACTCATTTTTTAGCTTCCATTTTTGGTCTGAAAACTTATTTTTGATGCACCTCTACTTTAGGTACGACCACGGCTCAAAGAAAATAAGTTCTGCCCATCGTGTAACACCACTAAAAATACTTTATTAAAAAACATATATTGCACTTACATATAACAAAAAGGATCGCTCATTCCTCACAAAGCTCCAGCAATTCAGATGTCTCTCCATCGCCCGTTCGTGATAATGTCCGCATACCACACCCTTTCCGACGCGTTTCATCAGAGGGCTTCCTCTTAAGGTTCGACATGTATGCTAACACTCTCCCCGCACCTAAAAGGTAGCTAATAAGAGGAATTTATTGTTAAGGGTTACATACACTTTAAACTTAATATACAGAAGAGATTAAGATTAAAAAAAGAAAAGTACAAATAATGAAATTGTGCCTCTATGACTGCACTTTACTGGTTGTTCTCTGCTCTTGATTGCTTTCTATGTAACTTAGCAAAATTCTGTATTGTGTGGTTTAAATCCATGAAAGGCTCTTTGCAGGTTTTTCAAGTGATTGTGGGCGCTTCTACATACTTAACCAGGTTCACTTCCTTATCTGTAATGTCTGGGCTCTGATAAATTCCTGAACACATTCTGTGTCTATGGAGAAATCTCTTGCAGTCAAAAGTATTTTTGCTAAGTCGTTGTAGAACTGTGTCTTGTTGAATCTGCACTGTAAAGCTTTTTTTGTATAGAAGTTTCTGTAAGTGCATTGATAAGCCCCTTAGGTTTTTTCCTTCAGCATCAAGTGAAAACTAATGGAAATGTCTGGACAAAGGGTAACATGAGGTAAACTCACGTCCTACATTAGCACCGAGGTTCTGGCAGAGCTGTATATATGATTGCATCACACAAGGTGTTCATAGCTGTGGTCCATTGTTTTCTAGTGCAGCTAAATTGTCATTTTCAAGGTGCACACGTTCTACAAACTATATATTTATTGAAAATTGAGGTTAAATGTTATGAGTCAGTAACAGGTTTTTTTTAATATTCCTCAATCAGTGTTCCCCAACCCCCGGTCCGAGGATCAAATGGTACCGGGCCGCACAGTCTCAGTGCGGTCCGGTCCTGCAATATGGGGCAGTGCAGGGTCCCGGTGTTCGAACACCGGGGCCCCGCACTGCCGACGGACTTCACAGTGAGGGGGCGGGTCCTGTGACTCACCTCCCCTCCCGGCCGCGTCCATAGTAACAGGAGGCGGGAGGGGAGGTGAGTCACAGGAGGCGTGTGTGTGTCACACGTTCCGCCCCGCCCCCTGCAGTGCACACATCAAAACTCCCTGGCTGGGTAAGTCCGAGTTTTCAGCCATATATAAGAAAATGAAGTCAGGTCTACAGGTCACAGGTCTCCTGTGCTGTTCTGATTCTATATTTGACATGTGCATCAATAAAAGGTGGTATTTATTAAAAGTTAAAGATTACACATCTAACCTGTTGCCAGATTTTTATTAGGCAGCCTAGAAGGTCCTGAGAAAGTGACCTGATTTAATCCATATCTGTATGTGGAGAGCAGAGGATGTTTAAACAATAATACCAGGTTTCACTGACCCTGTAACTATAGCTCTGCCAAAACAGGACATCATGCCCTGTAAGTTCATCTATTTATTTATTACATTTATAGTGGTAAAATAGGACTTAGAATATGTCCCTGATGGAAAAAACAATATGTACTATTGTCTCTACTGCACAGATTGGTTGTTTGTAATGGCTGTATTGCATAATAAGGGTACCGTTAAGATTATTTAATAAGGAGT